AGCCATCAATCTAGCACGTATGTCATTTAAAAGAATATGGACATCTAAAAAGATTACAAGTTTCCTCAAACTCGTATAAATAGTTAACCTTGCTCTACCAGCATACCACTTCTTTGCTTTAAACATAATCCTCCAACATCGGCTTGTATTAGAAAGCAAATCAGTTGTATTAGAAAGAGATCAGTTGTATTACTTGACATTGTCTGTAAGCTCTTGTGAATATTTTTACAGAGTAAGCACTGATCTGGTATATAGATAACTAAAACCTGAACTGGATCAGAACATTCCTTTTCTTACTGATCAGCTCATCCTGCCACCTATTGATGGAAGTAAGAAAGAAGCTTTGGGAAAACTCCCAGAAGGATTCCCTCTGAATTCTGCTACCAGTACGGCATTACATGTTTCTGATATTTCTTTCTTTTTTTATAATTTATTGAAAGTTTTAAAAATGAAGGTAAAAGCTAATACAAACTAATATAAAGTAAGGAAGAAAAAAGAAAAAAAAAGGAGAAAGCTAAAAGTGCAAGAAAGAAAGAAAAAGAAAAATAGAAAAGAAAGAAAGATTTATGGTTTTGATGATTAGACAGGATAGATTATAGAAAGAAGAGAGTCATTCTTTTCTTTGGAATCAACAAGTGCAAGAAAGAAAGAAAAAGAAAAATAGAAAAGAAAGGAAAAAGGTACAAAGAAGTGGCTTCTGATCTTCATAACAGTTATAAGTAGAATGATAAATTTACCTCTTTCTCTAAAGTTACATATGACTCTCTTCTTTCTATAATCTATTCTGTCTAATCGTCAAAACCATAAATCCTAAATTCATTTTTTCCTGTTTTATGCAAAAAGCCCATAAAGGGTTTTCAGGCAGCAATAAATGTAGGTATTGTCTTTAATCACAGGAGTCAATTTGGCCATCTCAGCAAGTTCCATCATCTTCACCAAGCATTCCTCCACTGTAGGTATTGCAATGGAAAGATCCTTTTGCATACAGTAATCTTGCTGTGGTTATCATATATACATATACATATATATATACATATATACATATATACATACATATACATACATACATACATACATACATAC